TTCTTCTACACTACTCCAATTAGTCAAACTCTGATTAGGATGTACTTTCAGCCACTCCTTTGCCCTACCTGCCAAAGAAAAAGGAAATAATATCAAATATGTAGATTCAAGATTTGTTGCTCTAAATCTCATGGTATTAATCAACTCATAAAAAGTAGACAAATAAATATAAGGGTCTTCATGATTCAATCCAGTGAATTGATGAGCATTAATCAAGTTTAAGAAAGATGGATTCATCTGCAATGTATGATCATCCAGAATGACAATGCTGGAAAAATGCCTTGGACCTTGTTGCATAGCACAATTTCTAAGAGTTCTTCTAGGTGGATTTGAATTTGGATTTTGATTTGGATTAATATTTGGATCTGGATTCGAATTCAGATTTGCTCCTTCTTCCGTCATATCTTCTATAATTGGATCTGGTAAATCAAGTGTGAAAGAATAATTAGCAGATTCTCTTATAGTTTGTTCTTGAGTTTCCCTTCTTCTTTTACCCCGGTTCCTCCGAGTTGTTTTTTCAATCTCTGGATTAAATTCTAACTGCTCTGAATATACCTGTCTTCTTAAACGCATAAATCAAAATATTAACTCAAGCAAATATTAGCACAAACTAAAAACTAAATAATAATAATAATAATAATAATAATAATAATACAAAAATAGAAATAAAATAAAATATTCAATAAGCTAAACAAAGAATTATCAAAGAAACACTGTTCCCCGACAACGGTGCCAGAAATACTTGTTGAATTATTGGCAAGCGTACCAAAATTATCAATCGCAGTATAATATTTCGATTAAATAAAAGTCGATCCCACGATGAACAGTTTCAATGGAAATTCTCAATTATGCTTACTAAGTAGATTAAAACAGATTGATTTTTGTAATAAGAGTTGAATTGAAATTAAATGACAAAGAACTGTAAATTGTTGAGAAAATATCAATTAAAGGTACTTAGGATTGACTTCCTTCCTTATCCCTCTTTTGTAATGGCTATGTCACTTAAGAACGTCAATTAACCTAACAATGTTGATGTCACTTACTCAAATCATTCATGTTGATTCCTCACACATGAAATTCATAAGAAAACCTAATAAATGTTGATTCCTCACACAATTAAGAGATTTTCCAACATTAGGGTTAGGGTGTTAAGCAATTGATACATTCATTCCATTCCTGACAATTAACGTAACAAATATTCTTACCGTGATCTAGGGTTCAAGATATATTTTCCAATCATACCCCAAACATCAAGAATAAATCATTCCAAAGCATAAAAGATAAAAATAACAACATCAAAACATAGATTAATATCTCAAAATATCACCATGATACAAAAGAGTTCAAGGAAAGTGCACTGAATCCTAAGAGAATGAAGTTAGCCACTCATGTTGGTCATGCTCCAATTGATGAAGAAGTGAATAATTTATGAAGATTAGACGAAACCCTAACAGTAGCCGTGTCTCCTCTTCTCCAAGACTGTTTGCTTTCTCAAAACACAACATATCTTTTTATAAGACAATTTGGGTCAGGCCTCGCATCTTTCATTCGCTTAAGCGTTCTTCTTTCTTTTAATTTTACTCCAATTATGCTGACAATTGTGTTCCTTACTCTTGTATCAAGGTATTCTCGAATTCATCCTATATTGGGAGAAAAATATATTAGAATTAACATAAGTTAAGTGATTTCATAATAATTCAAGACATAATTATATCAACTTTTTACCACTTAACACACTTAGTTCAATTCTGTTTGAATTTTTTTAGTTACATATTTTAGGCAATTTAAGTCATAGCATGTTCGTATTCATAATTAACAAATATTTTAGTCTAATTACATTTTTCAATTCGATTTTCTAGAGTTTTATTGTAGTTTCTACATCATTTTAATCATTTTTCAATTTGTGTTTAATCAATTTGGTTTCTAACTTTGATAATTGATTAGTTTAATTTTCATTAGATTTACATCATACAATATTTTCTAGTTAAATTTGTCGTAAAATCATGTAATCGATATTTTTTTTAATTCTAGCATTTTTTTTATTTGATTCTTGATTTGTTTTTAGCATCTTTAAAATTTTATTTACCAATTTGATTTTACCATTTAATGTTCAGTTCCATTTAAAATTTTTACCAATTTTCATACAAAGTAATTTGACATAGTTTAGTTTACTAGTTTAAAATTCCTTTTAATTGTTTATTTTTAATTTTTTTTTTACTTTTATAACTCAAAATCTCCACAAATTTACTTAATTTTGTTTTCTATTCAAAATATACACCATAAAAAAATAATTTGCAATTTTACTTCTTAAATTGATATTTTGATTATCTCTTATTACATTTAAAAAAAAAACTAAATTTTGAAAATATATCCGACTAAAGGTTTATCAAATAATTTTTTAAAAAGATATTTATGATTTAATTTTGTTTAAATATAGGCAACATATTTAAATATAAAAAGCTAAATGAATATTATAATAATTTCTAGGTATATAAATTACTGAAATTCTATTTGAATATATTGCCATTGCCATTGAATATTGTTTTCTTGTACAAGGTAAATGTGATGACATGTTTTATTTGACTTTAATAGATAGAAAAACAAAAACCTTTATCTTTAATGAAAGTAAATGTTTACCTAACTCGATTCCAACTGATAACAAGTTGCTCTTAAATGTTAGAATTGAAAATGGGGAAGATGAAGGTGATCACCATTTAACTGTTTTAAATGTGGTTTGTTTTATTCAAATGAGTTTTGTTTTTTAAATAGTATCTTCTTTTAACTTATTAGAAATTAAATATTTAATACCATGCTTAAAAAATTCAATCACTACTATTTATCATGTATAATAAACTTTGTAAATACTTCATTATATTATAGATAAATGCACTTTTATTTATTAAACATTCAAGCATAAGACTTTGCAAATTTAGATTCTAAGAAGAAATGCTGGCCGTGGAGGAACATTAAACCATGTCGTTTCCAACCTCGTAACCAGAAGTATATTCTTTCTCAATTTTTCTGTTTTTTCACACTTTTTTTAATTGTTATTGTATAGTACAGGAATGATTTTTTTTTTTATATATATCTTCAATTCTTAATTATTTATTTTAAGGTGAGTCATTAAAAAAAAAAAGGGAAATACCTTAATATAAAATATTAGTTAGAGATATCTCAAGAAAATTAGGTAATATTTTATGAATTATAAATGTTAGTTGTATTTCTTAGGTTCGAAAACGGTTTTACTCATAAATATTACAACTGTGATTTTATTTCATTCCATGAAAATTATGTCAATAAAATCTATTTAATATTATAATATGTAATTTTAATTTATGATAAATAAAATTGATAAATATTAAAAGATTGGAAGTACTACACCATCACGAAAAGAAACCTATATTAGTAGTGAAAAAAATAAATATTATTTTATATTTGGTTATATAATTTAATTTAATATATTTTAGAAGTTTAAATAAAGGATAATTATATATATTTTTCTCTTTCACATATTTGTTAAACAAATTGTGATGGACTAAATTTTGAAAATAGAAAATAATATTTTAATGATAATAAATCTAAATAATATTACAATATAACTAACATGTATCAATTATTACAAATTAAATACTATCTCATATTCCTCAAATATCTTATATTCTTTTTTCATTATAAACACTTTAAAAAATTTTAAACATTAAACATAAACATTATTATAAACAACATTTCATAAAAATAAATATATATTTTTAATTAAAAAATTCATGTTACATTTTGGAGTTTGTATTTTTCGGATTGAAATAATTGCTTTTAATGCTAGTACAGACTTTTAGCGTATGTAAGAGTGATTTATAAAAAAAATAAAAATAAAAATGTAAATAGACCGTACACGTGAATCACATATTATAATCTACCGAAAACATGAATGAAAAAGAGGCTATGAACAAACTACGAGTCAAACCAAACATTTATGATGGGCGACATCATGTCTTTTAGGTGAATTAGGGCAACATCATGAATAATGTTTCATCCTATTGTCACCAAATATCACATAATTAACGGGTTTATCAAAAATTTCATAATAATTGTGACCCTATCAAAACATTACTCACAAGGAATTTTTATTTCCTTAAAATAAAAATTCTAATAATTTAATATTTTACTATATTTTTTGTGACACATGATTCGTCATAGATTAATATAATTTCATTTATCACATAAACTTTAATATCATTGTACATTTAGTACAAAGTAATTTTTTTTGGTAACTATCTAAAATAATTCCAAATTTACTCATGTCCTCATGTTTTAATGAAGTATTAGTTTTTCCTAATTTATCTTTAGATTACTTATTCTTTTATTCGCGTAATGTATTTATTAATGCTATTTCAATGAAAATATTTTTTAAACCTATCTAAGAAAAATATAAACGAAACAGAGGCAATATTTGTTAGGAATTTAAGCTTCTAGCAAAGTGGTAAGCGCTTGGTCCCTAACTATTGGTATCGGAGCTAGGCTGCGTGCTCGATTCCTCGCAGATGACTGAATTGGGGCAGCGTGTGGTAAGTCCCTCGAGATTCCGAAGAGCGGGATCGAGTCGCAGAATCGTGGTGGGACCAGAAGTTAAAGGATTAAGTGTGAGTCCTTACTAATAGCTTAAGCTTTTAGCAAAGTGACAATTTCAATCAAAATATTTTTTAAACCTATCTAAGAAAAATCTAAACGAAACAGAGGCAATATTTGTTAGGAATCTAAACTCACTAGAATGAACCATCTACATAGGTATCTAAAATGTGTCATAAAAATATTCATGAAATTATATTTTTATATATTTATATAGATTTTATTATTATATAATATAGATAAAATAAAATTAAAACAACGGAAAGACAAAAATAAAGTTGGTATGAAAGCAAACCATAAAGTCAACCTCTTGAGCATGCGATCCTAACCATAAGGATGTATGTTGTGTTAAAGCGAGAAAATATAATTAAAAAAAAATGAAAACTGGGAGGATGTATGTTGTGCTTAATACTAGGTATTATGTATTTTTCAGTTAAACAAATTATTTTAACGGTTCCTATATTAGAAGTTGATATTAGATATTTGGTGTAAATTATTAAAAATAATATTTTAATTTTAATAAAAAAGTTTAGGCATTGTATTTTAAATTTTGTAGTGTTATTTTTAGTTAACATTATTTATTATCATTTTTTTATTTTTTAATCAGTTTATTTTTTATATTATATAGCTGGGTTTTATTTTTAATTATTATTATTATTATTTTAAATGTACATATCTATTATTAAACATTTTAAAGGGTAAATTTGATAAAAAAAGTTTTATGTTCCTATTGATATTTTTAAATTCTAATTCTAATGACGATAATTCAGCAGTTTTTTTTTTTAATCTTGTTGGTCTTTTTAAAATTTATTTGTCCTTTTTAATAAGCAACGATATTGTTATATTTGAAAATAAGTGATAAAATAGTGATGCTGAATTTCAATATTAAAAATTAGATTTATGGTTTTACACGATAACATTAATAATACGATTTAATAATGTTTTTTAAAAATTAAAATTGATGACTGTTTATTTAAAATAGAAAGAACTAATAAGATAAAAAAATAATAATTAAAAATGAATTAACTCAGGATTTGTAACTAAGCTTTCATATAATTTAAAATGAAAAATAATGCCAAAATAACTTGGCATGGTGAGATTTATATGCAAATATGGTGGGATTTATATGTAAATATAATAAGTTATAAGATATAAATCAAATTCATTTAATCATCTAAACTTAACACACTTTCATTATAAAGGTTGAAGAGTAATAAATTATTAGTTAATTTTCTCAATGTTCACATTTTTTTATTTAATCTGATACACACTCACTTGACATAACTTCTAAAATATTTGCATTTAATTTGGACATTGAAATTAAATTAACAGTTTTTACACTTTAAACTACTTCATCACTTAAGTACCATTTAATAATCTCAATATGACATATATAGTGACCTCATGATGCATTATATCTGTAAGATTAAAATGATTATTTCTATCAATTAATTAGATAGTTGAAATTCAATTGTGTTTTTTCATCAAATGATATCTCAATCTATGTTATTATAGACTATGAATAGAATATGAGTATTCTTTATTGGTTACTAACTAAATACACACATTAAACACTATCAAATAATAATATATCCTTTATAACTATTTGCTTTTCATGCCAATTTATTATACACATCACAATTTCATTCATTAGTATACATTTGTCAAAACATGATATTTAAATACATTTTATTTATCACTTTTTTTCATAAATAATCATACATACATACAACAAACATGATGTGTACCATCATAATTATATAAGTATGAAAGAAATCAACAAAGCTAAGTATTTTAACATAATATTATGTTTGAGAATGTCACTTAAGTGAGTACTTTACTTTTTGAGTGGTATTTTTTTCGGAACTTTTACTTCTCTTAGGTATATTTTTATGCTTGAATTATTTGAGTGATGATTATCTCATTGAAGTGAATTTAAGGTTAAGTAATCCTCTATTATTTAGAAGAACTTTATCTTAGAAAAATGTTGCATGATCATAAAGATTCTAGAAGATACTTCTTTATTTTTCTACTGCATTTACATTTTTTCTTTGTTTCTCCAAATCAAGACTCCAAAGAATTTCATAAGTCCCAAAAACTAAAAGAAATTTTTATCTTGTTACAACAAAATCCTAATAAATAAATACAACACATCACTATGATATAAACTAATGTGTAACAAAAACAATGTGTAAATTGAATCTTTCTTTAAACAAACTTTCAATAAAAGAGTAGTGTTCTCCTCTCTATCAAAAGCATTACAACATGTTTAAATGTATAAAAACAAAATAAATGAAGTGATAAAACCATAAAAAAAAGTGAGATTATTCAAAATTTCAAACAATCATTATTTTATACAATAGAAGATTGAGTCGCCATTTTTTTATTTATAATATTTTTAAATATAACTATAAAATATTTATTTTCTCCCTAACTAAATAAATTTTACTCCTAAAATAGAATAAATTTAGTCTTTACATTTAATAAATTAACTAAAACATTTTAGTAAAAACAACACCACTTTCATTTATTTTTAAATTGTACAAATGTTAATAACAATATTTTCATTTAAAAACTCAATTAAATTATTAGGAACCATAATTCGTATTTTTTAATAATCGTAATTTTTTTTATAAACAAAGTTATCAGTTCCAAACACCTCATAAAACAAAAATATTTAATTTCAATTTTTTCTTTAAAATTTGACTATTATGTAATTTCAATATTTTTTTCTTTAAAATTAGACTTATCATTAGGGGTAAGAATTAGTCGGATCAGTGTTTGGATAAAAATGTCTAATCTATTATGAAAATTAAGGTCTGTTGTAGTTTGATATAATTTTATTTTATTTTATTTCAATTTGGTATATACTTCTTATATTTCAATATGTTCTATCACGTGACATAAGTTAATGAATCAAAATTTAAAATAGTCCAGTAAGTTAATAAGATCAATAGGTCTAGTCATATTTATTTTAGTAATAATATCATATTTTTAATTTATGAAATTATTAAATATATATTTATATAAATATAGATTTATATATTAATTTGATTATATTTACACAAATAAATATATGAGTTGAGTTATCAAGTTCAATAGACTTGTTTTTTTAAATCCAAATATTGTTCATTTAGTTAAATAGAATTTTCTTAAACTTATACATAACATTAATATTCTTATCTTTAGTAATATAAAGTAAGACAGTTTCAGATCCTGAAATTTCATTCAACAATGACCTATTGTTATAAATTTTGTATAATAAGAATTAAATTATTTAATAAATATAATAATAGAATCTTGAAACTTATCTTTGAAAATTCGGATAAGGGCAAAAGAGTTCATTAAAAAATATTAGGATTGGGTTATATAAACTTTTGTTTTACTTGAATAGTAAATAAGCAAAGTATTAAGAATATTTTTTTTCATATTTTTATATTAATTTTCAATGTTATTAATGTATATATATTGTTTGTTGTTAAATGATTTCAATGATAAGTTAAAAAAATAATAATAATGATTTGATTGACATTTTGAATGTTTTTAAAATTAACTCTTGTTTTCGATATAATCTTTCTGGTAGGGTAACATTTTATTGGTCTTTGTTTTTATATAACTGAATAAAATCATATATTTTTAAATTTTAATATAAAATTATTTGATAATATGTGAAGTAATCTAATTATATTTAAACACACTTTTTTTGAAAAAGTCTATCAAACTAGATAAAAAATATTTTTAATCAAAAAAATAAACAATTCTTAACCTAAAATAATAACTAAAAAGATATTAAACTTTAATATTATATTAAAATTTCATATATTATTAATTAATTTTTCATTAAATAGTCTAATATATATTTAATCTATATCAAACAATATGAGATAAATAGGTGGACTTTCAATTTATACAAAGAATTTAGTGAAAGTCAAAAGTTAAAAAGTAAATTATATTCCATTATTAAAAAGTAATGCATCAATTAACCAATTTTATATAAGAAAAGTTTCAGATTTTGCTCAATATATATATAGTAGTCAATAGGTAGGGTGAACGAGTCATTGGTTTATTGTGAACAACTTTTACATGGTGCAGCCTGGGTAACGAAACGTGTAAGGGCAGAGGAAAGTGGAAAAGTTGGAAGACAAAGGAGAACAGTGGAGATAAAGGAAAAATCACTTCTACTACTGCTCAACACTAAAATAATAATGATAGTTTAATCAATACACTGATATTATATAACTAAGAATAAATATGCAAACAAAATTTCTATAAAGTGTCTCTTAAAAAAAGCTTACTTTAAGTTGGTTTTGATTTACAAAACCATAAAAGTTATTCTATTTATAATTTATAATTGACCATCCAAATCTTAATATTAAGTAATAATATAATATTACATTGATCCATGTGAAGTGTAGTGGCATACGGCAAGAGAAGAACAGGATTTGGTCCATTTGGATCATGTTTTTAGCGTTGAACATAATAGCCAGGTGGGGCCCACCCACAATGAGTGGCGTTTCCTCGTTAACAACTAACCACGTGCTGTTCGAGAAACGCAGAATCGGACAGACGTAAGAGTCGTTTTTGTCCATTCATTCACAATCTTCATGGATTATCAGCAATCAAATTTAAACACTTATTAGTAATTAATTCAGTAAGAATAAATAGTTATAAACCAAAGAAAAAGAAAATAATAGTTTAATGCATAGTCATGAAAGGGAAAAGTGAAAAGGCAAAAAATTGAATTTTTTTTCCTTAAAGAAAAATAATTTAAAAAAAAAAGAAAGGAGGAGGAAACAAACAAGTCCCCTTACATCTGCACCAAGTCCATATTTCAACTCCAATTCCGTGTGCCCACTCACTACATCAGACCGACCACGCCTAAATCCCAATTCCCAATTCCTCTGACTAGGGTTTCTCTCTCTTGAAACTCCACCCGCTCCAATTCATGGTTCGTATCCTTGATTGATTATCTTCTGTTCGATTCTCTCTTTGACTCGGTTGTCCTATGGAACCGCAGCTTCAGCCCAAGCCGGAACCCGCGGGGGTTGCCGGTGGGGATTTGGAGAAGTCTCGTGTCACACAGGTTTGTGACGTTGACATGGCTGACGCCAACGACGGTTGCTTTGTCACCATTTCGAAGCGAAAGCGTGGTCGTCCGGCCAAGGGAAACCGCGTTCCGAAAACAACGACTCCGCCCACGAAGCATAAAAAGGACGAGGAGGATGTTTGCTTCATATGCTTCGATGGTGGAAGCCTCGTTCTCTGCGATCGCCGGTGAGTGGTCACTGCTTCTTCGTGTTTGCAATTGATTCCTCGATTTTGCTATAATTGATAGTCACTTTGTAAATTCAGTTTCAGTTTGGGTTTTACACTGCAACTAAGGATTTTTACTCAGTTTTAATCATTGGAGGATTTATGCTATATTACTGACTCTCTTTCTCTCTCTCTCTCTCTCTCTCTCTCTCTCTCTCTCTCTCTCTCTCTCTCTCTCTCTCTTTTCAGGGGATGCCCTAAAGCGTATCACCCCTCGTGTATTAAGCGGGATGAGGCGTTTTTTCGCTCAAAAGCCAAATGGAATTGCGGTATTTTGTTCTTAAACTACGTTCGTTCTTTTCGTGTATGTATGTTGTTTTGCTGGAATACCCTATTTGACATGCAAGCGGACACTTGTATTCTGATGAAACTGGAGGAATAATATGGTTGGTCGTAATTGCATTTATTGTGTTTTGTGTATTTAGTAATCAATGTAAACTGAGTTCTAATTAAAATTTGGAGTTCGACAGTCTTTCACTTTTTTACCTTTATGAGATATGGGATATTTGAACTAATTCAAAATTTTGAAACTGGAAGTTGTATTACTTGCGTTTTATAGCCTAAATACAGTCTGATTGTTGTAAATGAACGAAATTTGAATTTGAACTTGATAGGGTTGGTTAACTAACGACACAATTGTTTCATGGGAATGTTACCTTGGAGGGGAAAATTCATGTACAAGTGACATTGGCTCTTCTTCTTGCATAGATTGCTTTACGTAGTAGCATGTGGATTTCCTGTGCATGTCTCTTGTTTTCTATTTGTTTTTTTTTTTCTTGGAACATTATGGATAAGTTTCCTTGATTAGAGAGAATCAGCTCAATGTTCTTCAATGATATTAACTTTTATCACTTTTAAAAGAGTTTCACAATAATTACATTTTCCAATCAGTGCACATTCACTCATCATTTGTGAGAAGTCAATCCCCTTTATTTGATTTGGGTTTAAATATTTTGCATGTATTAAGTGGCTCATCTTTCCTTTAATAAACATTCATTTTTTTCTACTACTTAGGTTGGCATATATGTAGCGTTTGTGGCAAGGGGTCGCATTATATGTGCTATACTTGTACGTATTCTTTGTGCAAGGGATGTACAAAAAGTGCAGATTTTGTCTCCGTCAGAGAAAATAAAGGCTTATGTGGAATATGCAAGAGGACCATAATGCTGGTAGAGAATTGTGCCCAAGGCGAGAAGGCAGTGGTATGTTGATCTTTCTTAATATATAAGCAAGCACTGCCTCCCCTCTGTGTCAGGGATGGCGCGAGCAGTTTGCTTAATGATGAATGTTGGTCTAATTTTTTTGTTCCTTGGGTTATTTTTATAGTGTGAAGTGGATTTTGATGACAAAAGCAGCTGGGAGTATCTTTTCAAGGTGTATTGGACATATTTGAAGGAGAAGCTATCTTTGACAATTGATGACATCCTTCAAGCTAAAAATCCATGCAAAGGTACTGCTTCTAGAATGTTCTGTAAGTTTTAAGGTTCAAAGTTGCCTTGAACTTTATCATCTTAGGTTCTGATAGACATGATAAACAAGCATAATTGGAATGGTTTCCTGAATAATGATAGATGCAACATAGCAAACTTGCTCACTACCTATCATCCAACTGTGAATATATCTATTATACTGAACCAAATTAACCCTTATGAAACAGAAGATAATAATATCACAAATGCAGGAGTTCCGAGATTAGAAGTATCTGGTGTCACGGCAGGTGTTTCATCATTACTTATCTCTCCAAAGACGGAGCTGCTAGTCAGCAATATTGCAAACGATAAACCATGGCATTATCAGGATCCAACTGGGAAGGTTCAAGGACCTTTCTCTTTATTGCAGCTTTATAAGTGGAATGTAAGTGGATATTTTCCTGCAGATCTCAGAATATGGAGGATAGATGAGACACAGGATAACGCGACTTTGTTAATTGATGTGCTGAGTGGGAAGTGTTCAAAACATGTGTCATTGACATACGACAGCCAGCAGCTGTCTTTGGAGACCAATAGTACGGTGGAAAATAAAGAAAGTAGTCAGGATGGTGGTGGTAAGCACAATGTGACTACAAACGCAAATTCTGCAAACAACCAAATTGTTGAGCAGTGTGGGGAGCAAACAGTGGTTGATACTTGTACACAATCTAATTGTAAAGATGAATCTGTTAAGAGCAATGGTTGGCACTCTCAGTCTCCGGGTTGGACTATCCAAGCGGATGGGAATAATAATGAGGGGCAAAGTGGAAATTCTGAAAGGAGGGAGGAAGCACTCAAATGTGAAGTTTCTTGTCAGGATGGTGGTCCCCATGTACAGTCTTCGTTACCTTTGACTGTATTTTGTGAAAATCTCAACGAGAATCCTTATGATAAATTAGAAGAAGTTCATAAGATAGAGGTGAAGTCTGAAGATAATGGAAATTTTGATTTGAACAGAATTTTTGATGGTCAAAGTAATAGTGGACAAAATTATCAGAAACAATCAGACAGTGAGGAAAATTCAGGGCAATCTTCTGGTCAGAACTGGAGTTGCCCTAGTGTAACTAATCCAGTTTGTAACCTATCTACATGGCTGTCAATCTTTGGCGAACCAAATGATTTGGATGAATCAGTTTCAGATCTGTTGGCTGAAGTGGAGGCGATGGAGTCACTTGGTGGTGGCCTGGAATTTCCCACTTCAATCATGAAATGTGGTGAGGAGTTGACTGACGGTTCTATAACTGATTGTCTTAGTTTTGCAGATGGGCTTAGCCCAATGCTTGATGCAGCAGGTAAAGGTGATGCACTGAGCTCCTCGGGTGATTTACACTTACCATCTCAAACCACAACTCCAGACGAACCAATTAAGCAAGCCGATGTGTGCCATCAACATAAATTATCTGGAGAGCATAAGTCAAAGAGTTCAGAAGTTGAGGTGAGTTTAGGCTAAGAAAACTCTTGTTAGTCTCATAATATTTCTCAAATAAATTAGGGCTTGTATCTTTACTGTTTTTCAAAATAGTTTTTAGTTAGAAAACTTGTTTGCCAATTACTCTGATAAAATCATTTTTGAAAACAGTGTTTGTTTTTGTAATTTCTAAAAACTAAAAATTCAAAGATGATAAAATATGTTTTCTGATTTAGTTTTCTCTTTTCATTAATGATGGCCATTGATTCCTTACCATAAAATTATCAAAATCGTATCTAACTCTTACGGCAACTTTTTGTTGCAGTAGGTGTCATCCTTTTCCTTTTAAAATATTTTTTAAATTAGAGTTATCAAATAATTTTTTTTTCCGATCTAACATAAGTTCAGAAGGTGTACTTTTAATTGACTGTAAAGCATTAAAAGGTTTACTTTTAGTTGACTGTAAAGTAAACTTTAACCTATTATTTTTCATGCAGTCTACTTTCTCTAAGATTAGCTGGAATCCAACCATTCAATTTTCCTGGGATCCTCCTAATTGTAAGTTGTTTTGTTTCATCACTTTGTCAGCTTTGCACAACTATTTTAACAAGTTTGTTATCATATTTCGTTTGATTTGAATATTTTGTTACCCATTCATAATTTATTGAATTTGGACATTTTGCTAAAATGGTTCTTTGGACTTTTGCAGGTTGACATGACAGATTATGTTGAAGGCCATTTTTCTTATCTTTAGGCTACACAGATCTTAGAAAAAACTTAAATTGGATACATATTATCCTGTTCATAACAGCATTCTTTGTAAACAGTAACCTCTCGCCTTCGTTGTTTGCTTGTTGATGAAGAAAAGAAAGACCGATAGGGTTCTTTGTAGTCTTGTCTATTCTGCTATGTAATCTCATTGAATTTTAAATGTGAAGGACTTCCTTAGGTTTCATTGTCGGACAGATCTATCTGTATTCGACGTTCCTTCAAAATTTCAAAGAAATTAATAATTAACAGCTTATATACTGTTATTCAAAATGCTTTCATTGGAATCGGTATAATAACTCATTATACATTGGATGTTATCCAGCCTGCAAGAGATGTGGACGATCATACCGTTAGTTGCACGGGTAGGAAGTTGTTTATACGGAGAGAAGCTGCTTCAATGTTGTCAGTACTAGTTGGCCAATTCCGAATTATGAGTGAAGAAATTGACATTCATTGTGATTGCAATAACTCTTGTTTTAACTGTGTTATTTCTTTCAGATTTAGAAATCAAGTCAAGTAAACTATGTTGAAGATTTATTCTCATAAATTTGCATGTATTCCCAAAATCTTAGGCCGTTTTAGGTAAAAAATTTCAGACTCGGACTATTTGTTCGTGAATGTGCCGTGAAAGTTTGTTTTATGGATGAATGTCATAGTTTCTAAATTAGATGAATGTCATAGTTTCTAAATTACATTGTTATACGAAAATTGAAAAAGAAGAAAAAAATCTATTATATATTACTATATATTACAATATTTTTCAAAATTATTGTTTCTTTAGTAAGGATCTAATCAAAACTTATGGACAGTACATTATCATCTAATTATAAAATGTTATTTATAGTAGTTTTATTATTTTTAATAATAATTATTTTAAAAAATATATGAACATTGGTTTTCGACTGATGATGTTACTTAATAATTTTGTAAAAAATATATAAATGACAAATTTTGAATGATTTCTAATAAGGGAGAAATGTAAAAACTTTGTTAATGGCAACAATAATATTGGTGTGCGGTTTCCAAGTCTAACTTGAATCGTGGTTAAAAATGTTAAAAAAAATTTTATAAAAAAGAAAAAAAGTAAACTATATTTTAAAATGAAAAGTAGATTAGACAAATATGATTTATTTATAAGATATTATTACAAAGTAAAATTATTCTTTAATGATGAAATATAGATTCTGTTAATCAACTTTCTAGGAGAAACATAATTAATTACATTAATTTATATAATTATATTACCTATGAAATTTAAGAAACATAAAGGAGCATAAGTCATATATTTCATAAAAAGAAGTTTATGTCATGACTATATTTTTTTGCTTACTCAATTCTAAATTCTAAACCATTAGGACCTTTAGATGTTTCTAACCAAATGACACGCAAATTTCAAACTCGAACAAAAATCAAATCACTTCTCCAATTGAAGAAGGCATGAGATATTCTTACTTATACAAGTATGTCCTTGAACAAATTTTACATTAGCTTCCAGACAATAGTTTTGAATAGAAAAGTAAATGTGTGAGCTTGATAAGCTTCTCCACAAGTGCACCTATAAAACTCACTAGTATAAGTGATATTATTATACCAAATAAAGCAACAAACAGTAAAATAAGAAATAAATAAAATACTTAAATTATGAGATAAGTAAGTTTTTTCAAACAATTAAGAATATTTTTTTATTATCTTTTGTTTAAATTAAATATCAAAAGTTTTTTTAAATAAAAATATTATATTATTATTTTAATTTAAATAATTATGAATAAGACATAATTAATATTTAATATTTTATCATATTTTTACTTTATAATATACACAAATAGAAGATATATCTACGTAATATATATTTCATATATAAAAATAAACCTACATAAAAATTAAATAATATTTCCATCTCAAACTATACAAGTGCATGTTGAATTTATACGAAGTGTCACAATGAATTTATGCAAAAGATTTGATTAAGACATATGAGATTTCACCAAATATAAAAAATAACTCAACCAAATATATCTTCTAATTATATCTTACAAATTGATTTAATTTTAAAAATATTGATAACAGAAATATTAAACATGTTTTGCTTTCATAAAATTTTTCTTTAATTTAATACAATTTAATAGTAATCAAACCCAACATGTACAAATCATGTCATAATTAAAGAAACATTAAATCATTACATAAAAAGGTATCTATAGAAAAACATATTTTTTATCATAAACCATAATAACCATCCCAATTATAAAAAAAATTATCCATTTAATTTTTAAACCCTAAATGTTCAGATCATTATCCATCAAATAACTAAATATTAATAAATGTATTGTGTAAAATTTGAAGGGTGGAATAATTTAATAGATTATAATTTGTTGTAATAGATAATTTATTTTTTAAATAACTTTTTTAAACCAATTTCATAGTAAATACCAGCGACGGGGAAATTTAATAGCATTGAACTTTATTGTAGTTCATTTATTTCTTTTTAATTATGTTTTTTTTAACAATTATTTCTAAATATGTTATTTTTAACTTTAAGATTAAATCCATTTTATCTTATTCTTTTGTTATATTTATTGTAAAGAGAAAAAAATAGCAAATGAGTTTAGATAAAAAAATATTAAAATATGTTATTAAAAAAAGTTTAACAAATTTATTAAAAATAATAAAATATTAATACTTATTTTAATATGAGTAATTGAACCTTAAACTACAGATATTTACAATTCAAAAACATTTATTACAATAATACCATCATTCGTTCTAACAATAATTTGGCATTCATAATAATGACAACATTAATTTTCTTTTTCCTTAAAAGTCTGCTATTACAACATAAAAATAAATTTATTACAAATTATTTTGTATTAAAAACTGATAAATATCTTGATTTAACTGCTTAACCTATAAACTCAATTACACTTCTTATCTGTATAATTAGTTGTTGTTGTAGTGAGGATTATTATTTTCAATCACACCCGATTAAAATTGATTTGACAGTTCTAAATTTTAAATTTGAACTAATTTGACTGCATAATTAAAAATATAATATTTTTATTTTTTATATAAATAATTTTTTTATATATTATATATGAATATTACTTATATGGATGATATACGAAATTTTATTACCTTATAAAAATAAAGAAACATTAAAATTATTTATTTTAAAATATTTTGTTAGTTATTCAAAATGATGGTATAATATAATCTAACTAAACGCATTTGTAAGTGAATTAGGTTATTAAATAAAAATAAATAAATCCAATCCATATTAACTAAATTTCAATTAATTAGGTGACAAATTAGTTTAAGTTTAATTATATACTACCCACACTTATATTCAAATCTATTAGCTTAAAATACGAAATATGCATTTTGTTTTCTAGGTTATTTTTTCAATTAAAATTGGAGTTTCATATCGACTATTTATGTGTATATTTGATGTAATTTTTTATTATACAAATATTTAAGATAAAACTCTATTTTTAATAAAAAATAACATAAAATTTCTTATAAAATAAAAAGAACTTATAAAATAACATAAAAACTCTTGCATTATGTTTAATAAGAAATTTAGGATAGTTCTAATTTAATTTAGTTACTAAAATTCTTGATTCACCTTGGCCAAAAATAAGTGTTTTTAGATGCGTACAACATTTGCTATATGCCGCGTCAAATAGAATTTTTTATGGCGCTTTCAAGTATTTTTTTAAATGTTAAATATTAACTTTTTATATATTTTTTATTCTTATAACATATATTAATTTGTGTTTATCCTTTTAAAGTTAAGTAATTTTTACTCTATTTTAAAATATTTTAAATATTAACACCAATCATTATATAATAAAATTATTATATTTTTATGATAAATTTGATTGAAAATATTTTAAAAAATATTGTATAAAATTAATAATATGACATATAATATGAAACAAGTATAGTAATTAAAAGTAAATAAAATAAGTAAAATATTTTATCTATAAATAAAATTGCAAGATTTTAAAATCTAAAAGATAAAAAGATTTTAAAACGTAAAAAATTGCGAGAGTTGATGAATAAATAAAATATACCATTACAATGCTTATAAAAAAAAAAATTAAATGAGCCTATTGCATAACCCAAGAAATAATAAAATTACATTGTTAAAATTCTTATGAAAAAAATGCCATTAATGTATCTTGGGTTTTGCTCAATAAAAATCAGTGCTCCAAATTATAGAGCAAAAAAAGTTGAAGTAGAGAAACATGGATTTTTAAGGAGCTATTATGTAAGAAGAGAAAGAGAGAGAGAGAAATGAATGCAGGGAGTAAGGGAAGCAGACACAATGAGAGAAATCCAAAGACAACCGAAGCTAAGCCCGTGAGAAATAGAACGTCCCTTGTTCACGCGCGCCGGTCAACGGAGTTGAAATATAAAAATCAGAATTTGGCGTGATCGAAACGAAACGACGATCTGGCGTGCATTTGGAGATAATGGCGGCGGCGACGTCGTATCTGACGCCGACGCAGAGGTACGCGGCGGGAGGGTTGTTCGGGCTGGCTCTGAACCAGGCCCAACTTCACCAGACCCACCCGTTGGGCCTATCAACCGACGACTTCCCTTCTGATTCCGAAAGTAGTTCCTCCAATCTCACTGTTTCCGAAGATCCCAACCTTTGGGTCCATGAACATCGCATTTTGCTTCGTCCTGTTTTCAAGTATCTCTTCTCTTCTCTTTTCTCCAAAGCATAATTGGATATGTTTGTTTTGTACTGCATGTACTCATGCTCTACTTCATTTTTGTTCCTATTCCGAAAAGGAGAATCCAATTATTGTGGCATGCTATTTCAGTGTTATTTACAGTGTGTGTTGAGGTTGAGCAGGTACCTAGAAATTGATCCCGCCGCATGGTCTGGACTCGAGGAAACTGCTGGCTCTTCTTCAGTTTCACGTCTCGTCGGACCCGTACGCCATTCTACTATTTCTTTACTTCATCTTTGATTCGAGTTTCTAAACTATAGCTTTCAATCATGTTCAACACGTGCCCATAAAAGCTGGTTGAGTCATATAGTCTGTTTCCTACTTTGGAGGGATTTCTTTAACTGATTTCGTTTTGAATATTAAGCTCTTTTTAATTTCAATTAATGTTGTTATGTTCATAAAATATGCGATTATAATTTGATATGGATTATGCCCTTTGGATAGAAACTTTTAATAAAATATCAGTAACTCTCCAGTTCACGTTATTCGTAATTTTCTCTGTTTTTTATAAACAAAATACTACAAAATGGTATTTTGAGATATTATCTTTTAGGGATATGTGAATTGAGAGAAATATATATACAAGTCCACTACCAATTTTTGATGGTGAGGATTATCAGTTATGGGCTGCAAGGATGATCAATCATCTTAAGATCTTAGGAGGCACTAGAAGAAATTATGATGTTTCCGAATTGCTTGAAAATCCCAAGGTGGCTCAGATGACACACGATAGGAGACAAGAAAGCTAAGGCAAAATATTGTCTTTTTTCTGATGTGTCAAAAAATATTTTGACCAAGAATCATGAATTTCAAATTTGCCAAAGAAATTTGAGATGATCTCAAAAAATTATATTCTAGTTGTGAAAGAGCCAAAGACATGCAAGTGCTCAACATGGCTAGAGAATTCAAGATGCAGAGCATAAAGGAGATAAAAACAATCATAAGCTATGCTAATCTGCTATTAAATATAGCAAATAAAGTGTAGTTTATCAGGAAGGACTTTCCTAATGAATGAATAATAAAAAAGTTTTGGTTACTATATTTGAAAAGTATGAATCGGAAATATCAGCATACCCAGAAGCAGAGAAGAATGATGACACATTTTAGTACCACATCTTAAGTAATGTGTCAGTTTGCTTATGGACACTAAATTACAATCCAAATTAGGAACATGTAATACAAATCTCAATATCACAAGATCTTTCCCGACCACTTTAGAAGTGGTTCCATCTACTATGCGAACAGAAAGTTATCACAACAAGGAGTATATTGACTAAACACATTGATATCTTCTGTCATATAGCCTGAGGCTTCAGAATCAATAATCCAGGATCCTGTTTTATTTCAGCTTACATTAAATACAGTTGAGAGACCATTTTGAGCAAGAGTAGCAGTATTTTGGAGAGTTTGTTGCAACAATTTTCGTATCATTTCCAGCTGTTCTTTGTTGAAAACATCGTGTTCAAATCCTGTTTTGGGCCTACTTTCTTCACCAATTGCAGCATGAGCCCTATTCTTTTGTGTCTCGGCTTCTAATCAGCAGGCTTCCCATGAAGTAACCAAAAGATCTCCCTTGTGTGCTGTGTTTCTTTACAGTGATCACACCCTCCTGTGTTTTTATTTTGGGATCCTCTTGTTGCACGTACAGATCTGTCAGTGACCATATTGTCAGATTATCCACTCAACAAATTTTTTCTTCTACTTTCCTCTTTTCTAACTTCTGCAAAAACCTCACGAATACTAGGGAGTGGCTTAGTGCCAAGAATTCTCCCCTGACTTCATCCAAATTCTTGTCCAACGCCAACAAGAATTGGTATATACAGTCCTTCTCCACCAGGGTCTTGTACTGCTTGCTATCTTCAAGACACTTTCACTCCATTTCTTCATAAATATCCAATTGCTGCCACTGCCTTGTGAGAGAGTGGTAGTATTCAATGATAGCAGCATCTACTTGTTGCAGTAAGAGACTCTTGATCTAGTAAGAGACTCTTGATCTCAAAAATGGCTGAGGTGTTCTCCACATCTGAGTAGGTTTCCTTGGCTGCATTCCAAACATCTGCAACAGTCTCGTAATACATGAAGTTCTCACCCATTTCATTTGTCATGGAGTTGACCAGCCAGGACATGACCAAGATATTCTCAAGCTTCCATTTCTTGTGGGTTGGATTATTCTTTTCCGGTTCCTTTGCCTCATTGGTAATGTAATCTTCCTTCTCTTTTCCTTAGAGGAATATGCAGACAGATCTTGCCCATGGAATGTAGTTCTGGTCATCGAGTTTGTGACCAGTGATTGGAAGATGATTTGTATCGGTCAGATTGGGTACTTCAGTCGCCAATTTTTGTGCTCGTCGACCATGGAGACTCACTTTCTGGTTCAAAAACCCGCTCTAATACCATGTAAAAGTGTTTATTCCATATTCTGAAATGTGGATACAAATAACATAAACAGCCTTTAGGGTAACAAATCAGTATCCTAATTAGGGATAGTAAATATTCTACGTTACAGAATCGAGAAGCAATAGTAAACTGCCATATACAATCAAGGGATATTACTCCCTTAATTTTTTACCTGTACAAATTAGAACATTTGTTTCGCTGATTTAGGAAACAGCCGAATTTGTGCTTTTCTATTCTTAGCTCAATATCCAATACATACAACAACACTGTCAAAGTTTATAGAATTTTCCAACTACAACATGGAAAAATCCTTGTGAGTACAGATTTCAAATTCATAGAAGATCAATAATGAATTTGGGAGAAATTAATAAGGAAGCAACAACTAGAAATCCCATAGTTCCTTGATGATGATGATGTAGATGACATTCCAATTAATGCACAAGATCTTTGTCTGAGATTATCAAGGTGCAGTGTCGTTGTCCTAGAACCTGGAGAATTCAAAGAATTGTGCAGGATGAAAAGTGGATTAAACCTATGGAGGAGTCTTCGATACAAACAGCCCATAGGAGTCAAATGGGTTTATAGAACTAAACTTAATGCAAATGTTATATAAACAAATACAAAGAGAGATTAGTAGTGAAAGGATATGCTCAAGTGTTTTGGTAGATTTTTTGGAAACATTTCCCCCTATTACATGTCTTGATACAATCTGAATGTTGTTTGCCTTAGCTGCACACAAAGAATGGAAAATTTACCATTTAGACGTAAAATATGCATTTTTAAATGGTTATTTGTAGAAGGAGATATTTGTGTAGCAGCCAAAGGGATTTCAAGTTAAGGGACAAGAAGATAAGGTTTACAAGCTAAAGAAGGCCTTGAATGGCCTTAAACAGGCCCCTAGTGAATTGATGATTATCTTTAAAAACTTGGATTTGTTAAGAGTCCAAGTGAAGCTACATTATATGTGAAAATGACAGATATTAATTTAATCATAGTTTCTATCTATGATGATGACATACTTGTGATAGGCACTGCTGAGAAGCTAATAAAGGAGTTCAAAGCTTAAATTCTCAAGTATTTGAGATGAGAGATTTTGGTTTGATTCCTTTTTTCTTGGAATGGAAGTAAAACATGATCGAGATGGTCTTTATATACCAAAAGAAGTATGCAAAGGAGATACTAAAAAAGTTCAGCATGGAGAATTGCAAAAATACCACCAGTCCTATAAATTAAAAGGAGAAATTCATTAAAGATGATGACATGAATAAGGTAGATGAATACCATTATAGAAGCCTACATGCTTTCAAGATTTATGCATTATGTTAGTGCAGTGCATCTTCAAGCTGCCAAACGAATATTAGATACATCAAAGGTACCATATACTATGGTATCATGTATAATCATTCACAAAATTTTCAGTTTCATGGATATTTTGATAGTGATTGAGGTGGTTCAGTTGATGGCATGAAAAGTACAACAGGTTATTATTTTAGTCTTGGTGCAAATATGTTCTCATGGTGCTCAAAGAAGTATGAGATTGTGGCTCAAAGCACAGTTGAGACTGAATATATGGTAGCCAAGACAACTGTGAATCAAGCTATTTGGCTTAGATGTATACTTGTTGATTTATATATGGAGCAATTTGAGCAAACACAAATTTTTGTCGATTATCAAGCAACTGTTTCTATTTCAAACAATCCGGGTTTTCATGGCATGAGTAAACATTTTAAGATTAAGTTTTTCTTTAGAGATGTGCAAAGAGAAGAATTCAAGCTATTTTATTTTCAGAACATCAATGTGAAAATGTTTTAACAAAAGCTTTGCCAAAAGTCAAATTAGAAGCTTTGAGAACCAAAGTAGGAGTATGCAGCTATTTAGGCAAGTAGGAGAATTGTTGAACACATGCCTATAAAAACTGGTTTTGCAAAAACCAAGTCTTGCTTTTAGGGAAATTTGGTTTCAGACAAAATGTAAGGGTAGGATTGAAGGTAATCAAACATTTCATGAAATTTACTCCCCAAAAAGTGTTTGGAACAATACAAACATGGCCTAAATTATGGACATTTTCTGTTTTACTTTTTGAACATAGGTTGGGGACTTCCTAATTGAAATCTAGACATGCCCTTATACAGTAATAATGAATATGCTGGTATATAAGGCTGACTTGGTCATAAAAGTGGAAGGAAGGGATAGGTGGTGAGGTTGAATCTTCATATATTAACTAAGAATCACTGTTTTGAAAATCGGACCGACTGGGGTAATAGGTTGAATCGGGAACCGGACTAGAAGCTGGTTTGTAGCTTCCAAATAATCGGACTTAATTAAACTGGGACAAAACCGATAAAACCGACTGGGTTTTTGGGTTAATCGGTTTTAGTAAAAATAAATATTTAGGATCAAATTTTTTTAATATAATTTTTTTATAAAGATATAATATATTTTAGTTTTTTTTATATCATATTAGTTACATCAACTTTAAATAATAGTTTTTTTATTATACTTTTATCTTATTTTAACAATTATTTATCTTTCACTTTTTAATATATTTTATATTTATAACTTTCATTCTAACTTACGGTAACTATGACAGTAATTTTTATTATTTTTCTTTCTTTTTATAAAAAACATTATTATTAATAAAATTATTATATATTTATTATATTATAAAAATATTATTTTATTAAACCGGTTGGACCTTTAAACCTTGAACTCATGTCTTTACTGGTTCGGTGATTTGGCCGATTTTAAAAACATTGAAAAGAACTATAATAATGCATTTGTGATTTTTCTTTTCAATGTCATTTGGTATGCCCCTACATTCCAAACATGGATTACCAGATTCAATGATAAATTTTCCTTTACATCCCAGAGCTAGTTTTCATATTTTTGATAGGGGTAGGGACCTAAACAGTGCAAGCATTTGATAATAATTTACTTGTGCAAACTGTGTAGTAAGTTATGGACTTCACTTTTCCTTTTTAGTTTTCCTTTCTCTAATTACTGCCACATTGTCTTTTGTCTCGAAAGTTTGGTGCTGTATGCCATAATTCCTTTTGTCATCATTTTTTGGTATTCGTATAGAGTTTTTTATATATGCTTTTCCCCAAATAGATCACTGAAGTATAATGTATGTGAATTTCACAGTTCTTGAGACTATTATCAGAAGAATTTGGTGATGGTAATTCCCAAAGGTTAGATCAAGAACTTGCTTTGTCCAAAGCTGTTGATGCTATGGTACTTAGCCTGGAAAAGAATTCAGAGACTCTTAGGTCTAGAAGGGAGAAACTACGGGAATATGAGCATCAATGTCGTGAAAAGTTGTTTACTTCTAATGCTCAACCAAATTCTGAGAAGGTAGATATGCAATTAGAAACCCAAGAGGAGACCGGAACTCCTTTCCTTGATTTTAAAGAACCACATCAGGGATCTATTCATAGCAATACTGATGGGAGTTCAACTGAAGAGGTAATGATGCTCAGCTATCAAAGGAAAGTGGCAGTGCTTTATGAACTTTTCTCTGCTTGTCTATCGGATTTAGGTGAAAATAACAAGAAACATAGCCAGAGGAGAAAGGGCTATGATGCTCGACATCGTGTCACTCTGCGGCTGCTGGCAACTTGGCTCAATATCAAGTGGTCAAAAATGGTTGGTGAATGAATCATTTAATTAGTAATTTACATATGATTTAGAAACAATTTTTGATAAATTGAGGTGATCATGAGATATAAGTATAAGTTTTTTTTTTTACTGTGTATACTACTATGAAAATACATGGCAAGAACTAATAATCTTCACTGAACATTCCTTATATATTTGCCCTTGATATCTAATTTACCTATTCAACCTATTCTATATGGGATATGCTATAAGCTTGGCTATAAACTGCCCCTTGTTAAAAAAATCACTTTTATTGTTCCCATATTTTTTAGTGATAAAGATGAATCTTCACTTTGCAGGAGGCCATTGAGACAACAGTTTCTAATTCTGCGATGGCTTTCATTAAAGAGCAAGAGTCAAGTAATGAAGAAATTCAATCAAAAGAAAACAATTGGGATAAATGGAAGAGGGGCGGTATCATTGGTGCGGCTGCCTTAACTGGTGGAACTTTGATGGCTGTTACTGGTGGTATGATTACCTTGACATCTTTTATGTGTTCTTGAATATATATAACAACTAATATGATGAATTTCCCTGGTGATTTGATTGTTTTTGTTTTTACACAAACAGGATTAGCTGCCCCAGCTATTGCTGCAGGACTTGGTGCTTTGGCTCCAACTTTGGGTACTCTGATCCCTGTTATTGGAGCAAGTGGATTTGCTGCCGCTGCTAGTGCTGCTGGAACTGTAGCTGGTTCTGTTGCTGTTGCTGCATCATTTGGAGGTATATATTTCCTTATAAGCGATTGGATTTTACTATAATCTTCTCATTTTGTGCTATTATGTCTTCAATTTATATAATAACATTATAGTCTTTTGTGAATTTCCAGTGTAGTCTAAGAAGCCAACTACCGAGTTTTATCATATACTTTTATGCATCATAGTAGTGTATTATCTTCCATTGCTTCATTACTGGTCAATTTGCACTTTTGTTTCGTCAATTTATTGACTAGAAGTTTTATAATTGCTTTATGGCGCCAATTATTAATTTAATCAATAAACCTAGTTAAAAAAGGCTTGGTTATTTACAGTACCTGTTTTAGTGAAATTTGTTACAGTAATTGCCTTTCGAAGAGGAGTTATAGAAGTTAGATGGGATTCTTTATTTAGTTTTAAATTTTAAATAGTCTGGAGGAGTTAAGTATGCTCCTTAGTACAGCCTATAGCTATTATCTTGAAGATCGTACGTTGTTGAAGTAGACTTGATTTGAAAAAGCTGAGACAAATTGATTGTAATGTGAATTTTTCATTGGAAAATGAGTTTGACTCCTAATGTAAACCAAGTGGAACCGATGTTTAGCCATTAATGTACAATATTCCTTTTTAAATTACAAATGCTAGTTACAAGTCATTGGGGTGTATTTATGATCTATAGGACAAATAAATAACTCTTTCTTGCAGTTTTTTTTTTTTTGTGTGTGTTACTGTTAGTAATGCTCCTTTAATAGATGATGAAAATATTTTATGTGCACTTTGTTATACAAGCTGCTGGAGCTGGACTCTCTGGAACCAAAATGGCTAGGAGAGTTGCGGGTGTTGATGAGTTTGAATTCAAAGTTATAGGAGAAAACCATAACCAAGGTGTAAGTTTTTACTGATTTTATGTTCCTACTTTCTGGTGGTGGCTTTCTTTCTTTAGTTATGATCTGTGTACAGAGGAAACACATGCAAACTTTGTCTATACCTTCTCATATTATCTAGCACTAGTTTTCTACCTAGTTTATTGATTTTATCGGGCTTCTTCTTGCAGCTGCTTGGGGTTGGGATCATGGTCTCTGGGTTTGTCTTTGATGATGACGATTTTATCAGGCCGTGGGAAGGACTGGATGACAACTTGGAGAGGTACACATAATAACCATTTTTCCTTTCCTAAATGATTTGTTTGCTTAATCATTGTTTAGGAAAAGTAGTTGATACAACTGTGAATATTAATGCTGAAAATGATTTTCCCATAGCCAAGGGCAACATTTTGGTGCAAAATTACAGTATTAAAATTCTGATGACTTAATTTTCTGCAGTTTGTCTTCATTTTAAAAACTGCAATATTTTGTGTGTTTGTTTCAAGTTATTTTGGCGAAATAACTACATATTTTTACTTGCTTCCTTGAGAGTTTTGAAAATTGGTGACTATTTCTCTAGAACCAATTTCCAAAGAAGCACATAATTATGGCCTTGCTAAACAAATGACATTTCATATGGCCTTGCCAAAAGTTAGGTATGCTCTGCAGTGGGAGTCCAAGAATCTATATGCCCTGAGCACTGCAATTCAAGATTGGCTTACTTCAAGTAATTGGTTTGGGTTCCAGGCTGCTAATACTTTTGTGTAGTATATATGGGTAGACATGTAAATGATTGGTGCCAATGCTGTGATTTCTTTAGGAATTGCAACGGAGCTGATGAGGCAAGGGGCAATGATGACTGTCTTGCATGGTCTTTTAACTGCATTAGCTTGGCCAGTCGCATTACTTGCCGCAACTGAATTCATAGATAGCATATGGACAATTGCCATTGACAGGTGTACTTATCTCTGTTGATACTATATATAGAACTTTTGCTCAATAAAATGAAAAATATCTAGTTGATGTTCATTGATGAGTAGCACATATGCAATTCAAAGGTATCAATTGTTTTTACTGGATTGCACATAGTTGTGCATTTGCTTTCATAAAGTTAAAACTCTGTCTTGGAAATTGGCAACTTCTCTTTTACCTGTTTGTTAAATGTCCTCATATTCTAGCCAAAAACAAAGTAGTTGATAATCTGATATGTTGAATTGATCTGGCAATGCAAGGATGTTATCTGTTTGCATGCTTTTCTTTTTTAAAAAGAGACTCAGCATGAGGTGATGTTTTCTAATTTTCTCATCGCAATAAAAAGTGTTAGACAGTTTCCCGTCTTAGTTTGCAATTAATCCTGCTTATCTCACTTTTCAGATCTGACAAGGCAGGAAAGTTGCTTGCCGAAGTATTATTGGGAGGATTGCAGGGAAATAGGTATTTTTCTTATTCAAAGTTTCTTTTGAAAATTTAGCTCCTATAAAATAGTGGTATATGAAATATTTTTAATCCATCAATTGCAGGCCTGTTACACTTGTAGGTTACTCACTTGGGGCAAGGGTTATTTTCAAGTGTCTAGAGTGTTTGGCTGAAACAGAAAACAGTGGTATGTATTTCCACGTTTTTTGTATTTGATGTGATATATTATTTCTCTTTCTTTTTGGTATTTTTTTAATATTATTGACTTCTCTTGACGGATAAGCTTTTTCTCCCTTAAAGTTTTCAATTCTGGTAATGGGAACATATGATATCATTTCTGGGGGGACTCATTCGCTTATCTGTTAATAAGATGTTCCCTTATTGATTTTGAGGTTTTGCTTCTGTTTATTGGCAGCTGAACTGGTAGAGCGAGTTGTTCTTCTTGGAGCACCCATTGCAATCATGGGTGAGAACTGGAAAGCTGCTAGAAAGGTGAAGGAACTTAATTTCACTCTTAATTACTATTTATGGTTTTTATTAATTACTATGAGATCCTGGTTTCTGTAGATGGTAGCAGGAAGATTTATAAATGCTTACTCAAGCAATGACTGGATGCTTGGAGTTGCTTTCCGTGCCAGGTACACAAAAGTGTAGTGTTAGTATTTGCGGTCTGGTGAGACTATTCAGTTGATCCACAGTACATAGCCTATATGACCTGATCAATTCTTCCAAAGATTCCTACTTCACAATCAATTGGAAAAAGAAAGAATGGCGTGAAGTTGTATTCGCTGTTCTCACACATAATCCTTGGACCAAATGTTTTTTATGCAGTTTTCCCATGAAGTCATGAGTTATAGCATTATGATCCTGCAATTGCAGATATGATCCCATATTTTTATTTACTATATATAACATGGTTATTTTTCACTGACTAAACGCATACTTGCATAGTTTGATAATGTCAGAATAGGCTTGGAATTTTATATTAGTGGTCAGTTGTTTAGTTTTTGCTTAGAGCTTTCCATGTACAAAACTGCATACTACCCCTGCACTGAAGCTAGTAGAAGCTGGCTGGTGCAGAGCGACAGAAGAAACTGCCCCAGTTCCAGTTATGATGCACAATGCCCTTGGTCTCTGCTGTGAAAATGAGAATAACTTTGCTACAATGTCCTCCCCAACTCTAACAGTGATTACGTTAGGTTAAAAGGCCAGTCCTGCAGAACTGTTCATCCATTCACCTAGAGTGGCAAGCTGTTGCTTCCTTTCACTTAGGTGGCGTCCTCTGGGCTGCTTCTATGATGGAGTGCCTGATCCCCGAATTAGAAGTGGCAGACAAGGGTGAGAATCTCAGGGAAACAGTCCCACTCTCAGGACCATACTTCCTTGGCCTCCCTCTTTTCTTTTTCACAGGCTCACCGGAAGAAGCCGTTCCACCTCCACCATCAAGTGAGGAAACCAAGTTAATGCCATGACCAAAACCAGCTAGGTCAGTATGAGACTGAGGCTGAGACAGATTGAGGCCCAGCCTCTACTGAAAATGTAGAACCTGAAAAACATTTAAAAAAAGCTTTGAACCCAGAGGGTGATTGGAACCTAGACGATGTTCCATGTCCAGGACCAGACGCACAAACCCCTCCCCGTCTATGCTGCATGTAATATGGAGCAGAGCTGCCGGAAAAGCCTTACCTTATCTTCCATTTACGCATTTGCCAATAAGTTTGTCAAATTGCTAACTTCTTAAAACAAGAAACAAGTGAAGACACAAAAACAGGGGTTGAGCAAGGTTCCCTTCTACAAGTCAAAAGGCAAATAACTTTCACAATGATGGAAAGATTAGATCGTTTAATCCTAAAGCAAATAAGACAGAAGAGGATGTAAAGCCAAGTTTCACATATTTGAAAGATTTTGTCAGGTGAATGCAGGAACATTTTGGCGAGGGTAAATGTAGAAAAAAAAAAAAAGAGGCTTATATTGAAGATAGAAAAATGAAACTAGCAAGGTAGGAGTTGAGTTCCGGAATCATGTGCGTATCAGGTTCCAAAAGGGTTTTGACAGAGGAATGCATTGTGAGTGACTATGCATTAGAATAAAAGACAGAATGGAACTTCAATTGGGACTTTAGAAAAGATATAGTTAAATTCTAATGTGCAAAAAAAAAATCTAAATTTTATCTTAGAAGTCAATTTTGTAGAATTGAATTAAATATAAATATACTTTCTATTAAGATATTAGACGCTATTATCAATAAATACATTTCATATTCATGAGATGTTCAATCTTCAACAAGATGAGGTGTGTTGAAGATCACATAATATTTGATCATATTATAATATATAATTTAGTTTTGAAAAATTAAATTAAGTTCAAATCCACTTTCTAAAAATATACCACGTTTTTCACATATTAAGAGCATACTTTACCTAATACATAGTGTGAAACATAACACGTTTTACATACTTAGAGCATACTTACCTAATACATAGAATGATATATTACACGCTTGTTACATATTAAGAGCATACTTACCTAATACATAGTATGAATAGAATGATTTTAATTACAGAGAAAAAAAATGAAGCATTACCTGTAGACTTTTTAGTAGACAGCAGAAACTAACCCAGATATTGATCTTGTGCAGTCTACTTTCTCAAGGATTAGCTGGAATCCAACCGGTCGACGTTCCTGGGATCCAAAATGTTAGTTTTTTTCCCTTGGTGCATGATTATTGTTGCAAGTTGCTGTTTTTTATACATTTTGGGTTAGCATTGCGGTATGCTATTTTAACTTTAAAACTAGTGCTAGCATTCAGTTTATTTGATTTTGATCATTATTAAAATGGTTCCTCGGATTTGCAGGTTGACGTGACAGATCAAATAGAGGGTCATTCTTCATATTTGTGGGCTACACAACAGGTCCTAGATGAACTTGAATTAGATGCTTATTATCCCGTTTTTAACAACACTTCCAAACAGTGATTCTTCTTTGTTTCATTATATTAACAACTTCCCAACGTCTGTCACTGCCTTGTGTATTATAATGAAGTTGGAGCAACATCTATTAATAAACCAAACTCTCCATTTTAAATGTTATGCTATAAGAAAAAAAAAATTGTTTGTAAATATCTAATTATCTATACTTTCGGAAAGAGCAACAGCAGGTTATAAGGATAATAGCTTACGCGTTAAAGCTCCTCCTTGATCATTATCATTATTATGGCTATACAATATTTAATATTTATTATTGAAGTAATTAAAAATTTGTAAGTTGAAGATATATTAGACTGATATAAATATTTATTTCTTGGCTACACTTATGATGAATCAACGAAATTTGAAAAACAGCACTGAAATAAAGGGATAATAAAAATGTCTATATTTCTTTTATCCCTATATCGTATTTGGCTCATTTAAAGAAGTAACGGTAAAGTAAGCAATCTGATGTTATTTCATTAGTTGATATTCTAGTATATTTTATTATTTGCTCAAAGAACATCTGATTTGTTGTGTATCTGTACCAAATATCGTCTATTCACTAACAATTAAGATTATTAATTTAATTCCCTAAAACTTAATTTAGATGAATTAGATTCAAAGATTATATTGGAATGGATTTGAGTACTTTAATTCGTTACATAAATGAAACGTATTCAGTGAGAGGATACTTTTAGAGGATTATTATTTTTATTAGAGATAAATCAAAATTTAGCACATAATTTTATTATAATATTTAATATACTTTATTGTTTACAGTGCTGTAATTTATTTATTTATTTTAAAGCAGTAACATTTGGAATAAGTAACATGACTTGGGTTAATAATAATGTTAAAATTGGTAAATGGGAGATGAATGAAAGCTACGTTAATTTATTTGGTTTGGTTTAAAAAGGTGTGCATATATTAATAAAATATATTAGTAAATATTTTCATAAAAAAAAAAGTTATATAAAATTTTAAATGACATTGGACACAAATAATAGTAACAGTTCTATATAATTTCATAATTTGTTCTACCAATTTCTATTTTTCTATGCGTGAATTGGGTAAGAACATGAAAGCAAGCCTCGCAAGTTAATAAATCAAAGGACCAAAACCAATGCCACTTGCACCTCAATCTTCTCATTACTTCATACCAACAAATAACTTAACATGCATGTTAAAACCACAGTTTTTAATGTAATTACGAAATAAAAAATGTTTTTTATTTGTGTTACTGAGCACTTATTTTGAACATAAACATAAGCAAAATTAACTAATTTTATTTTATTTAATGATATCGTCTTTAAAACACTTTTCTTTTAATAGTGATTATAATTTTAATAATTCTTTTTTCAGCTGGTATTCAGCATCTCTCAATTTGATATTAAAAATTAGTCTGCATTAGGTATAAGATGGTTCGAGAATAGTCCTTGTTTTAAGCTATGACAAAAAACTTATTTTCTAGTAGTATTTATAAATTTTTCATCATTACTTAACCTGGGACAATGATATTAAACATGTGTGTGTGTGTTTTTTTTTCTTGGAAATGAGCTGTGTCTCACTTAAAAAACAAGTGGGCATTCTTTTCAATTACAGTAAATAATTCTCAATTCTCACCAATTTGACTATATCAAATTTAAGTTATAATAAAAAAATATTTATGCTATAGTTGGGCTGACCCAACTATTCATATGAATGATATACAAAATCATTGTACAACATTTTTCAATAATAAATAAGACTTTCGGTTTTATAAGATTCTGTTGTCTCTCTTTTTCCCTCTCACAGAATTTTCTCTAAATTAAACAACAAGAAGAGAGAGAAAAAAAAAATTAAAATTGGCATGGGACCATCACTCCATAAGCAGGCCTTCTAGGGTTTTAGCCAATGAAGAAAACACTCAACTGGGCGGTTCTCACTTCATGTTTTGTTTTTTTAGGTTAGTGATGATCAAATTTGTTTGTTTATGCTATTTGTCCACATTCTCCAATTCAACTATCAAATTGAAAATATTAACTCATCTTTCTAACGTGTGAAAACCACGAGTGTTCACGCTGACCAACTCGCATTGAACAAAATGACCGCTAGATTTTCATGTCAGAAGCAAAATAGTCAAGACTTAATATCAGATTAGTCTGTGTTTGGTCAGAAAGTAGGTGAGCCTGGTAAAGCTTTGCAGCACCGGAAAAACTCTTCAGTTGACGTAGCTTCTGCATACAGAAAAAGGGTCCAATGAGCGTCACTTTCACGTTTTAACTTGTCAATTTGAACTTTAATATAATAAAAGAAGGGCCTCGCGTTCCTTTGAACACTCACCGAAATACTTCCTCATCTTCTTTCTGTATCCATTATTTGAAATATACTTTTCCACGTTCCATTATATTACACACCAACAAAAGGAAAGTTCAAAATGTCTGCATATAATGTAATCTTTGACTCACATTGCAACAAGTTTCTCACATTCATAAATGAGGAAAAATCAATGTAGTTTATATACACAATTTTTTTTTATGAATCTATATGGATTAGAATTTTAAACTTAATAATAAATTGATTCGGCACATCATTAAGTACTTGCCATTCCCTTTCAAAATCAATTAAGAAAACATTTATGGCGCGTAGTCTAAGAATATCAACATCATATATTTTCAGGACTTATCAACATGAAGATGTTGATTTTTTATAGCTACATTTTCAATTCACCCTCCAAACTCCAAAGTCATAAACTTCATTTGCACTTTCCCCCTCCTCCCCAATCATTATTAATTATTCTCCTCTAGAATCCACTTGCTTCCAAAACAATACTACCACCACTCTTAAATACGCGATTTGATGTCAAATACACCGAAAATAAATTATCCACTGTAGCATCGAAGACTAAAAATGAAATTGAATTACCATAATCGTGCTATCTTATTTGTCACACCAATTATGGCTAATGCCATTATAGCACTCACTCTTTTAATGGCTGTTTCACTTTTATCTCAGTGTATATATATAGATAGAGAGATAAGAATCAAAACGGAAGTGGGGCAAAAAGAAATGAAATACATAAAGATAATTGTTTCTGAACAAAAGCTCACATCAAGAAATTTTTTTTTTTTTTTTCCAAACAGAGAGAAGAAAGTACTCCCACATGTACCACATTGTTATTGCTTGTCTGAGTCTTACCATTTATAATATTTATGGTGATTATGTATAATTGGGGGATGAAAACGAAATTTAAAAAAAGAAAAGAAAAAATTATCCAATTGTTGTTATTTTTATTTTATTTTCTTCTTTTCTAAAAGAGAGGGCAGACCACGCGCTTAGTTGGCACAGCAACGAGTCGCGTGGCTTTTGGAGCGGTGAGTCCGAACACGTCAGCCATGTCCAATTCGCTGGGTTTCATTCCATCTGGCAATTCCCACGTGAAGCAGTGAAGGAGGTGAGCCACCGCCAATTCAAGCGCGTACAGCCCCAACTGCATCCCAGGGCAGGACCTGCGACCCGACCCGAATGGAATGAACTCGAAGTTGCTCCCCTTGAAGTCGGGCACGCCCGGTTTCAGGAACCGGGCGGGCTTGAATGTTTCGGCTTCCTCCCAGCAGTTTCTGTCTCTCCCAATGGCCCACGCGTTGATCATCACGCGCGCCTTCTTCGGGATGAAATAGCCGCCGACCGTTGCGTCCTCCGCCGTCTCATGGAGGAGAAGCGGGATAGGAGGGTGGAGGCGTAGGGTCTCTTTGAGGGCACATTTGAGGAAAGTGAGTTTCTCGAAATCGGACTCTTCGACCCGACGGTCCAGGCCCACTACATCGGCGAGCTCTTGTTGGACTCTCTTTTGGTCTTCTGGGCTTCTCATTAGCTCCGCCATGGCCCACTCGATCGCTGACGCCACCGTCTCGGTCCCTCCAAACATCACATCCTGTGTAATGTTAACGCACAACACAATTATCAATATCAATTTCTTATTTACTTACCAATTTCAAAGGGCACAATAAAAATCTATCATTGAATTTAGCTTTCAAAATCAAACTTTAATCGAAAATAAATAAGAAAAAGAAAAAGGTATTATGGAGGGGGAAATGACACCAACCCAAATTACACCCATTACACTCAGCTCACTGCATGTTTGGTGGCTTATATTTCCATATGCTGTATCTCTTCTCAATCTTATCTGCTTTGTTTCTTTGTCTCCAGTTATAATGACAATAACTATAGGAAATTTCCATTTACTTTTTAATTTCAGCGTGAGTAATCATGTTTAATTTGGAGACATGTTCTCTTTCTTACAATACATATTTCTTGATAGTTTTCAAACTTTCTAAATGAATTCAACCCAGTTTAATAAGTAAAAGGAAGTGATTGCATGTCTTAAAAAAATATATTTTAATTTATAGAGTTACCTACTTGCTTATATAATTGCAGAAATTCTTATATGTATGAATTTTCTAACTTAGACATGTAAATCAACTTTTGAAAATTCAGCAAATAAACTAATAAACAAACTTTTGACAAATTGATGCCTCGCCAGCAAAGATCTATATTTTCAACATGACAGACAGAGATGCATATAGTTTTATAGTTAGCATGTATTTTCACGTAACATGTTACATATTTAAAGTTTAAGCAAGTCTATAAATTACAAAGAAAAGTGGATAATTATACACATTTTCAGTAGAAAACTCAAGGCAGAGCCACTTTCTTTAAGGTGGAGCAAATTGTCAAGGATGAGAATCAATAAAATAAGAGATATTTCGGGTTAATTTCCCAACGAACACTAGCTTTCTAAAAGCTTAATTCTCCATCTAAATTTTCTATAATCATACCTAAACTTTGTACATCTTAATCTTGAATGAAAAAATATCTTGAAAGTATTGGATTTCAAAATTAAAAAATTTCACTAAACTAAAGCCGACAAGGGTGACAATTTGTTCGAATAAACTTTTCTAAAAATACTTATTGGAAAAAAAATATAATATAGTGAAAAAATAGAAAAAAAAAATACTATACTAAAT